TGTGGCGAACCAGTGTGGCTTGTCGCCACGGCACATTTTTTTCGGGACAGAAGCAGAAGCCGAATCAGGTTCGGCAGGTCTGGCCCTGAAGGTCTGGCAGGCATCGCCTCCTAACCTGGTAGCGGTTTTTCGTCAGATTCTGGGCAGCCTGGGTCATGGGCGGATACCGTAGCACACACACTCGAACTAGCGGGGTCTCTGCCCTTCAGGCAAAGAAGCTGGAAGTCCACACCGCGGGCTTGCACACCGGTTTTCGGCGGGACCTATCGGCGCCCCGTTCCGAACCAGCTTTACCGCCTGCGACTGGGTCGCTGGTTCAGGTTTGCCTCCGCGAACCAGATCCCTGCCCGCAATTGCTTCAAGCATAACGGAAGTTGGGTGCTACTCGCAGCGCGTCCCAGGGGACCTTGTTTGGGCAAGGGATACAAACCACCAATCGCATGAGTTTCGTATGCTGCCCGAGCCTGCACTGCCACACTCTGCGTCGTCGCTTGCACCTTTGTTTGGCCCCATCCACCTGTCACCCCTCCACCCCCTCATCCACTTGGTCTTGCTGCCACTAACCTAACATTCTTCCGCTTTTCCCGCTACATCTTATTTCCCTCCCTCATCCCTCTGCTTCCGCGTCGCCTTGATGCCTGTTCGCCCCACTCCTCCCAGCTTTATGTGCTTGCGGCCTTTCGAGCGTTCTTTCTCAGTTCGTTTCACACTTCCAGGCAGGGAAAGTTAGGCAGCTCTCTCGCTGCTTTAGCGTACCCATTAGCCGACTAATTGACATCCGTTAGTTGAGGCATTCGTAGGAATCTTATCCTGTTATCGGCACACTGATTCCAGGACGGCACTAACCAGCTACTAACAAACTAGCTCCCGTCCTCTCGGTTCCAGGGATCGCGCGCAAAGATTGTCGTTCTTGGTCCTGCGAGAACGGACTTTTCCGCGATATAACATTTTTACTCACTCGTGAATTCGACTTGCGCGTCACGGATTCCGCATCCGCCATGGCAGCGGCCCTAATGGACCGCGCAGTGGACCTGGGCGCGCAAATAGGAATCACCCCGACTACACTCATCTCGCTAGTATCACCACTTCTCTCCATCCCCTGCTGCTTCCTCCTCCGCGGCATCGCGTCGCCCACGTACCGCCACGTGTGCGCGGCACTCACGGGCCTCCTGCTCGCGCTGTACGCGTTCGGGCCGACCATCTGGGGCCACTACGCCGTGCTCGTCGCCTTCACGTACACCGCCATGTCGCTGCACCGTCGGCGGTGCGGCATGATCACGCTCGTCGGCACGTTCGTGTACCTCCTCGCCTGGTGAGTTGCGCCTTTCGCTCAATAAATCTATGATCTGATGACAAGGATGATGACGTTTAGAATTAGGAGCATTTTCCTGGTACGTTCCACTTGCTCTGCCGTCCCCTCACTCGCTCCCTCCTTACAAATGTCCGAATCTCCGCCCCCTCCTCAACCCCTCCCCTCCAACCCCCCCTCTCACCCCACCGTTTTCCCCCCTTACAGTCACATTATTTATGCGAGCGGCAAAGCTCGCAAGGACCAAGGGATCGACTTCGCCGGGACGCTTATGATGGTGACGTTGAAGCTGACGTCATCGGCATTCGACTACCAAGACGGCGAGTACCTTGTAAATAAGGACCTTCCGACGCCGCAGCGCGGCACGCACCGCCACCTCAAGGAGCTGCCGTCCGCGTTGCAGTACATGGGTTACATCTTCTGCGGCGGGTTGCATCTCACGGGCCCGTTCTTCGAGCTCAGACCGTACCTTGACTGGGCCGAAAACCGAGGGGTACGATGCTCCGTGATTTTCAGTCATATCTGCACTCTCGTCTCTCTCCCTTCCTTCTTCTTCCTCGTCTACCTTCGTACTCCTCCCCCCTCTCTTCCTCCTCCATCTTAGGATGCTACTTTTCGTCCCTTCATCTTAGTCTTGCCTTCACTTCCTCGTTTTTTGCTTATTCGATGTTCGCTAACGTCCACTTCCCTTCGTCGTCCTCTCCTCTCCTCTTCCCCTCCGTCGCAGGTGTGGTCGCACGACGCTCGCAAGGCACCCTTCGCGATCCCTTTGCTCGTCGCACTCGCATGGGCGACGTCGGCCGGCTTTATTCACCTCGTCCTGAAGCCGCAGCTCAACTTACCTCTGGTCACCGACCCGAAGCGCTTCTACGCGATTCCGTACCTGCACCGCTGGGGCCACGTCATCATCTCAACGTACGCCGTCCGATGCAAGATTTACTACGTTTGGACGGTTGCCGAGGCGAGCATGATCGCGTCGGGATTAGGGTTCAGCGGGTGGGTTCCCGCCAAAAGCGCAGGCGCTTCGACGCAAGTGGCGGATAGAAGTAAGAGCAGCGAGACTGCCGCCGTAGATTCCGCCGTGATTACCTCGACCGCCCGGCAACAAGGAAAATCGGTTGTAAGGAAGGCCGTGGTTCATAAAAAGGCTCCTCACGGCGTGTTGGGTGATAGTGCGGCTGGGAATGCGGCGAAGATGTACGATACCGTGAAGCTCTCTGCGAAGAGCCCCCTGCGAAAGAATGGCGTGGTAACCAGTGCAAACGACGAGAACGAAGCACCTGAAATCGGTTCGAAGAAGGTTTTCGCAAGCGGCGGTCTCGCTGTCCCCGCTACGAACGGCTTCCTTACCGCGTGCGAGGAGACCAAGGATGACATTGCTCTGGCGAAGAAGAACGGGGTGGTAACGGAGCAGGCGAAGGTCGCAGACGTCGCCGAGACGCCGCGGCTGGTGGCGTCGTGGGAGCGCGCGAAGAACATCAACATCGCCGGGGTGGAGCTGGCGAAGGCTTTTAACGCGTACGCCAAGAACTGGAACGTCTCCGTGGGCCTGTGGCTAAGAACATGTGAGTGCTAAGGGCATGACTGGGGCGGAATAAGTCGATAGCTCGTCTAGTTAGATCGTACTGGGTCAAGAGTGGGAGTTCCTAGGAATCCTCCCTCCACCTGTCACACGTCCTTCCGCCTACCACTCTGCCCCTTGTGTCCCCCCGACCCCTCCCCTCATCCTCCCCTCCCCATCTCCTCCCCGCCCTTTCCCCCTCCCCCCCCCGTGCCCCCGCCCCCGTTCCCCCCGCGCGCAGACATCTACGAGCGCACGATCCCAGCGGGGCAGAAGCCGGGCGTGCTGTCGCTGTTGCTCACCGTTGGCGTCAGCGCCATCTGGCATGTGAGTGCCACGTGGCATGGGGGAAACTGATGGAATTGTTCACTGCGTTTGTATTGCGTCATTCCCTCTGTTTGACTTCCCCTGTAGTCCACCTTTCCCCCTTCCGCCTTCACATTCGCCCATCCTACTAACTCCGGTGCACCATCACCGCCGTTACCTCCTCCTGTTCTCGTCTCCCTCCACTCCCTCTGTTCGTGCCTCATCTCATCCCATCTCATCTCCTCCATTCCCGTCTGAACATCCCTCCCCTCCATGCGTCCCATGTGGCACCACCAGGGAATCTACATTGGTGACTTCATGTTCGCGTTCAGTGGCGCGTTCCTCATCATGGGCTCGCGAGGTATGCTGTCGTCACGCCGCCATGCCACCATTGCTAGCATGCCATCATGCCACCATGCCACCAGTCTTCCATCTCCGATCCTCTCTCTTTCTCTCCCTTCGTTTCTCACTCCCTTCCTCCCCCATCTTCCCCCATCCCCATCCCTCGCCCCTGTTGCCCCCCCTGGCACACCAGTGATCTACCGCTACCAGCGCACCATCCCGGAGTCGCAGTGGGTGTGGGCGACGGTGGTGCAGGCGCTGCACTGCCTCTACTCGTTCGCTGGCCTCAACTACATTGCCATGGGCTTCATTGTAAGACACTCACTTGAATCACTTGAGTCGCCATGGGCCTCATTGTGAGTCGCCACGGGCCTCATTGTGAGTCGCCATGGGGTTCGTTGTGAGTTGCTAGTGTTTAAAACCATTAGTTAACTGCGAGCATACCGGTGTCTGAGCCAATTCTTCCTCATCATAAAGGTTTAACAAAAAGGCTCACAATGCTCACTATTCCCCTTTCCCTCCTCTTGTTCTCCCTTATTGTTCACAGGTGCTGACAGCAGAGGACACGATCACAGTGTACCGGGGACTCAACTTTGTGGGCAATCTGCTGCCCGTGATGGTGTTGGGCGGTAACTGGGCTCTGCGGAGAGTGCACGCGCTGCTCTCGCCGCCCTCCTCTGCTGTGAGCAGCCAAAGAATCGCAGATGAATTGGAGGCGAAGCAGCCGGAGCAGCAGCAGGTGGTGCAGCCGGTGTTGGTGCATACCAAGGCGGAGTGAAGGGAGAGATTCAACCGAGGCAGCTTATCAAGGGCTCAGCGGCACCCTGCCAAGCGGACTACATGAGTTGAGTTGGCTTATGATGGGTACAGCTGCACCAGCCATGTTGCTTCCGTGAGTGACAGTCTGGACCGGGGAGCAACGTTTGTAGCCTTGATTTCATGGCAGGGCCCCTGAGAACAGCGAGGCTTCTAGCAGTGGTGCTGTACCCCTCGCCATCTAAAGACAGCACATTTCAGAATCTTGCTATTATATATTTTGGATTACCGGTAGGAGGGGTGTGATTGGCGCTGCAAGGCCCAGATGGGTTAGAATACCAATCGTAGATTTAGGCTGTAGCTTACTCTTAGGAAACTAGGATGGGTGCATGATTTTTGCACCTCTCATTAAGCTAAAATTAAATAATTTCCTTCCTGCTTGACTTATTTACTGAAATATGTTTGAAGATAATGATCGCAACTGCAATACAAACTTCGCCTACACACCAAATCGAATAAAGTGTGACGCGCACGCAGGGGTTGGAGTAGACATCTACACCAAGCGGTACGAAGAGCACTCAGGGCAGGCTGTTACCTACTACCATGGCGTCCCCCTTGCTCGACTTGGATTTGATACTGCCAACTTGGTCATCAGGCCGTAACATTGCTGCATCTGATCTGACAATCCTTCCTTCTTGCTTCCCCCACTTCTCCCACTTCTCGCACTCAACAATGCCCCCTCCCCCCCTTTCTACGCTTCCGCCTATTGCCTCGCGCGGCTGCAGTGGCTTGTGAAGCTTCTTCCTCCTCCTCCTCCTCCCCCTCCTCCCGTTCGTCTCCGTCCCCCTCGCCCTCACTCCCCTCCCCCATCTCCACCTCCTCCTCTTGCTTTTGACTGCGTTTCCGTTTTGCCTCCCTCCGCTCCTCCCTGCTGCCCCACCGATCACCCCCATGATCCCCATCCCACCTGTCACCTACAGGTGGCATCCAAAACTCCGACCCATCCTCCTCCTCATCCTCCTCCTCATCCTCCTCCTCATCCTCCTCCTCATCCTCCTCCTCATCCTCCTCCTTATCCTCCTCCTCATCCTCTTCCTCATCCTCCTCCCCTTCCTCTTCTTCCTCCTCTTCCTCGTCTTCTTCCTCCTCTTCCTCCTCTTCTTCCACTTCTTCCTCCTCTTCTTCCTCTTCTTCCTCTTCTTCCTCCTCTTCCTCCGCTTCCATTCTTCGTTTCCGCTTTGCCTCCCTCTTCTCTTCCCTGCTGCCCCACCGCCCACCCCCATCATCCCCATCCCACCTGTCACCTACAGGAGGCATCCAGAACTCTGCCCCATCCTCACCCTCTTCGTCCTCCACCTCCTCCCCCTCACTCTCACCCCCCTCCTCTACCTTCTCCCCCTCCACTTCCTCATTCTCCACATCCCCTTCCTCCTCACCGTCCTCCTCACTGTCATCCCCTGTCTCCCCTTCACTGCACTCAGCTTTTTCTTCAGAAATCTTACTTTTCCCACTCGCTTCCCCCACTCTCTTCTCCTCCCCTACTCTCTCTTGCTCCTCCACTTCCTCCTCCACTTCCTCCACCACCTCCCCCTCCTCTACCTCCTCTCCCTCTTCCACCTCCTCCCCCTCTTCCACCTCCTCCCCCTCTTCCACCTCCTCCCCCTCCTCTCCCCCCCGGCCTTCCCCCGCACCCCCCCCCACGTCCGTCCCCCCAGTCGCGGGCTGGCTTGCTGCGTCCCGCTCTGCCCTTCTGGCCGCCCTCCGCGCTGTCGCCTCCTGCTCCTTCTTGGCTGCGCGCACCACATGACAAGAGGCGCAAGGGGAACAAGGGGAAAAAGGCGAACAAGGCGAACAAGGTGCGCAAGGGGAACAAGGGGACAAGGGGACAAGGGGTACATGGGGGATGAAGGGCGGAAGGAAGCTCGAAGTTCACATGAACAACTGACGACATAGGAAGGAATTGGGATGCAGGGAGATTACAAGGATGAGTGATCGAATGACGGAACACTCACCGAGGCACTTTTGGAACTTGTCGCCCATCATGTGCTTCCATACAGCGTCCTCCGATTTCTGTATAAGCTTGTTCGTCAGCGTGCAGAGAAGCTTGTTGCTGCGATGCGAGGGACAGGGGACAGGGTTTGAGGTTTCTCTTAGATTGTGCGTGAAGGACAACCGTCCTTCTGTCCTTCGTTTGTCCTCCTGTCTTGCAGACGATTGATGAGCACACCCGCTAAAACTCCGTCTGATAGATCAAGCATGTGTGCTACTATTGGAGGGAGTGTGCTTCTATCGAAGGGAGTATGCGATCTCACGGGTTATCCGGCGACTGCACGACGTGCGGCTCGAACTTCCGCAGCGCGAGCGACGCGGCCGCCTTGGCGAAGACTTTGCTTGCCACGTGTCGCTTCAGCGATTCGTGGGTTGGAAGGAATTCGTGACCAGTCAGCGCGCAGCGCAAGCGGCCCATGTCCACGTCAGATGCTCCTTGTGCGTCGCAAAAAGAGCGCGAAACGCGGGATCGTCAGGCTCGGCAAAGGTTCCTCCATTCAGGCTCGGATTCTCAACGTCTACGCCCTCTCGCGGCTTCTGCGCCTTTCCCGCTTCCCGCCCTTCGCCGTCCGCCTGCGCCATTGGATCGCGGCGGCGGGGTAATCGCGGAGAGATGGTGATAGGAATGGGATTTCAAGAGGTTGTAAAACGGAGACGGGCGATTCTCAATGGATCATAGGGAGGTGGGAATGGGAAAGCTGAACTTCTGGGACGATCAAAACCTTCATTCTGGTGAAACCAGCAACACGCGCGGTTTTCGGCTTTGAAATGAACAATTTGAGTTGTAGGCCGAATTGGAAGTATTGTGTAAGCTATAACACTGAGAAAAGGATTTTGAAAGCTTGGTATTGAGAATATGCTGGCTGAACCTTTTCCTATACCCTGCTACTACACACTGTCCTGACAACCTGAGCTGAATCTCAAGGAATGAGACAACCTAACTGAATCTATGAATGAAATGATTTGCTGCATTGCATAAGCCTTGCTAAATACATAATTTGACAAACAAACAATCCCTACAACCTGTACAAGATACAGACTTTCGATATCTAGTCCTCATGCTAGCCAAGCCTAAAACCTATCTGTATGAACCCCACTCCATCATCATCCAGGTAGAACAGGCTTGGGGGGACTCATCCCCATCAGGCCTCCACCCACCACCACAGGCCTGACCCTTTCGGGCCAGTCCTAAGGAAAAGCAGCTGAAGAAAAAGACACCCCCATTGGTGAACACCAATATGTTCTTAAGGGCGTGCCAGCCAGCCCAGAAAAGGTGCTAGCCTGAAAGAGCCAGCTTGAACTGTGGAAGATTAGCAGGAACGGCTTGAGGAGGCCTGCTCCCACCCTCAAACTTGGTGCATGCAGCCCAACTGTTGCTGCTTTAACATGCCTGCCACTCCCATCCCGATCGGAGCATTCCCACATCCGCTTCGCCGTGTCACCCTTCCGCTTTACCACCATCCGACTCGTATGCCTACAGCCAGAACACTTTGCATGATCGCTTTGTGTGAAGCACCCCAAGATCAACGCCCACGATGTTGATGAAACGCCCCTCCCGTTTCCAGCTGCATGAGGACTCACGGCCCAGGCAAGCCAACCCTAAACGCCCAACCAAAGAGCTCGGCGCAGGAATCCAAATACTGTGGCTAGCGCAGGAGCCGCGGACGTCACACCCCAGGGGTTACCCTAGATGACGGTTACTACACGATGGGCACGTTGACCGCGTTGACTGCGTCCGAGTCGGCCTGCATGAGCGTCCACGCGGCGTCGGCGTCCTGCTTGGCCTCCAGCGCCGTGTGCCCTGACGCGAGCGTCATGCGATTGCTCGCCTCCGCGCGCACCTGCCCCGCCGACCGCTGCTGCGTCTCCGCAACCAGCTCGCGCAGCGCGCCCAGCGCCACGTCGTACCCGCGCATCACGTTCCGGATGGTGTGGTTGAGCACGCGCGCGACCCACACGCGGAAGAGCAGCTCCTCCCAGTCCGCGTCGCCCTTCTCGAAGTGGTCGAGGAAGCGAATGTACGCCGCCACCCACGCGTCCTCGTCGCAGAACGACCACGTCGGCCACTCCGTCGCCACTATCAACCCCTGCTCGCCCAGCCACGCGGTACATGGGTAGAACGAATTAGACTTCAACAATAAAATTGGGACGAAGTTTAACAGGGGAAAAAAACCAAGAATTGGGACAGGGAAGCATGCAAACGAGCGACGAAAACCTACAGATACGCATAAACGTGAAGGAAAAAGAGGCAATAATCCCTTACTTTGGCGAGAGCCGGGTCGAAGTACTGGTGCAGGAGGTCCTTCATGCGCGGCGTGAGCGGCTCCTTTAGCAGCTTGAGCGTCTTCTCCACGTCGTACCCCACCTTGCTCCGAACCGCCTCCGGCACGGGGCGCGCGAACTCCACCCGGTGAATCACCGGGTTGTCCTCGTCGTTCAGGCCCTCGGATTTCAACGACTGCCAAGCAAAGCGGAAACATACGCAAGGAAAGGAAAAGGATGGGAAAAACGGCAGTCCCGAGGTCCTACGGCTTAGGAGCGAAGTCGGAAAAGCAGCGTGATTAAGGCCGGCACCTCAACCAACGCAACTAAACAACGGAGATTTTTAAGGTAGTTCTAAATTAGCTCGGGTACAGCAGCCGCACCTGTACGGCGGAGAAGCACTCGATGAGCATGGTGCGCAGGTCGCGCAGGCCGCCGTAGAGCGCGTGCATCTTGCCCTCGGGCACGTACACCTCCGCCAGGCGCAGCCCCGCCTGCGCCGTCACGAACGTGTACAGCGTGTCGATGCCCCAGTCGCTCTGCGTGCGCACGCGGTGGTCCGCCACCAGCACCTCCGCCGCGCGCCGCGTCAGCAGCAGCTCCCCGCCGAGCGGCTGCTCGATGTGCGGCAGGACCGAGTTCGGCCAGAGCAGCGCGAATCCGATCTTGGTGACGAGCCATGTGATCATGGCGTCGGTGGACGAGCGCGGGAAGTAGTGCCGCACGATGTCGAAGTTGAGGTCCGCTTGCTTCTCCGCTTTGGAAATCCACTCGCCGGAGAAGGAGGTTATATCGGCGTCGTAGAAGTGGAGTCGCTCGAACTCGCGGTTCTCGACAAAGAATTGGAGCGCCGTGTTCATGCCGTCGCCCTTGCCGCCGCGCAAATTCATGCCTATCCTGCGCTGCAGGCGCAGGATGACGCGCTTCCCCGTGCGCTTCTCGATGCCTGCCGCGGCGGTTTCGATAGCGTGCCATGTCTCGCCCTTGGAGAATCCCACGCCGAGAACGGCGGAGACTGACGGGTGCGACGCTGCGATTTCGACGTTTCGAACGGCGACGGTGACGTCTTCCTCCTTGAACGGGAAGCAGACCAGGGAGGCCATCCTAGAGAGCGGCTTGGCTTGGAGGAAACGAAGACTAGCCCTTAAAACCCGCAGGTCAAGAATTTCAACCTTAGGAAGGTTGGTTGGGAGTGAAAACGCAAAAGGCCTGCGAACCAATAGGAGTGTCCGAAATGTTGGACGAGGTCTAGAATTCGGGAATGATCACAGGCATTTTTGGGACATCCAACCAACGCTAGGAAGGATGAACCAAATTTGGCCTTCTTGGCCTGCGGGTTTTAATCCAAAAGGCGAAGTTATTGTGGCGCTCCCTAATGGTCTTCAAGGGCTGCTGCTGAAAATGGATGTAAGAAACTGAGGCGGAGCTTGAAAGATTTGGAAGACAGTAATTCTGACGGTATTGGTGTGGCTGCCTTCAATAAATACTCGAACCGCTCGACCAGGGGGGCGAGGGGGAATAAGAGGGGGAGATCGAAGGGGAAAATGGGGGTGGCGTGGACGAGCGGATGAGGGTGAGCCGCGGGGCGGAGCGACCAGAAGGTAAGGCAGGGAGGTTTGTTTCGCGCGCGCGCCTGGTAAAGATTCAACCTTCCAGAAGCTCGAAGGTCCTTGCCTTGGCGGCCGGCGAATGGCGTCCGCCCGCCACCAAGGAGAACCGAGTCTGCTCAACGACGCGACCGGGGAACTGTTCGCGCGAGTGTACACGTGGTGGGATTTAAGTCGCTCTGGCAGGGCCAGTAGAAAAGCCGGTCAAGTTTGATGGAGATCTACGGGCAGATGAAATATAAAAGATGTGTAAGGAGATTATGTATTTTGTATCCTAAACCAAAATAGAACATTACTGAACCTGGGAGATTTTACGTAATGAGACTAACGATGAAGCTGCAGGGCAGGAAGTGGACCATCGCATCGATCTTCCAACCAACAGCCTTGCCTAGCTGTCAACCCCTAATTCGTTGAAATTCCACTTGGACCCGAGGTTCCAGACAGGGGTATCCACAAGCATGCACATGATTCGTTGGAATTGCCACCTGGAGGCTTCTCAGGGCCATTGTCCACTCACAGAGCTGGCTGACAAGTTCAGCTATTAGCCACAAGATGGATGGAATCACGAGTCGCAAAATAAGTTTTCTCAGCCGTTGGATGAACATGTCAACATTGTTGGGCAATCGAACGCTTCTGCACGACGGTGGGCCGAGGTTCCAGGAGGACTGGCGAATAGATTCACAGAGCCTCATCAGACAAGTTCGGATACCCAAATTTCAGTGAGATTGATTGAAACCGTTGTTTCTGTGCCGATTGACCATCTCAACCACTCCCGTCCCGGCAAGGTACACACGGTCCTCGCCAAATTCAACACCACCAATTTCACACCCCTGAGCAATCCTTTCTGGTTTACCCGAAATCGGAGGTCATTCGGAAAGATTGGGCTTTAAGTAGGAAAATTTCGAGACCACCCACACGAGTCAGGAGGAAAACCCTAAACATGGTTGCAACGGAAGATCCAGTACTTGTGTTGCAGCCACCGAGTGAGATTTTCGCGCGATTGACACTAAACAATGTCACGAATAGCCTCTAGTTCCTGAATGTCCGGTCCCTGTAAAAAACGGTCAAGGGTGATTTATGGAAAATCTCAGGGGACGTGAAATTGGCGAGGACTCGGTGTACAAGAAAAATGGAATGTCAGCATGTGCATTAGAAATGCGAGATTTCAGTTCAAAATCAAATGCCTTGTATTTGCCATCCATCAGCTTTACAGGAAGAATATGTCCGTACATGTCTAGAGTTCTGCAGAATTGACTCTTTGACCATAGAAGGTGAAAGTGCTGTGATCATCTCCAACGAATCGCCAGTGCCATGGCTCATACATGATTCCCCTTGTGTTATCAGGTGGAAAGGACAACTCAAAGTGAAACCTGCACAAAAGGGACGACACATCAAAGGGTCTGATCTGATGGATTTGACAATTCAAGGCAGCAAGAAGGCAACACAACTCACCTATTGGCATTCTTTTGAAGCCAATAAAATGCTTCGGTGTTTTCAAAATCTGCACAAGGCCAAAAAAAAGAGGCCAAATAACAATCAACTTCAATCCTCATGTGGAATACCACGAACCACGTTTTACCTACAGAGACCACCTTGCACCATCAGAGTCCATGTTGCACCAACATACATTCTGTCAGCCAGCAATCTCCAATCGTACCAAACTCAAGATGCGTGGCAGGCGAGTTGGCATCCCCGATGTCGAGAGCATAGCCCGTGTGATGCTCACTGAAGCCCGGTGGGGCCGACACCTGTGAGGGGGCAGTAACAGGTGGAGCACCACCATAGTAGGTTTGGAGCAAGGGGTTCGTTGCAAGGGGTTGAAACAAGGGGTCGAAACAAGGGATTATGGTGAGCAGTTCGAGCATGGGGTTGTAAGAGCGGGTTGCAGACCCCTTTGAACCTGAACCAACCCACCTCACACACGTGTACCCTACCCGAATCTCACACACATGTCAACCCACATCCCCTCGAGGCACCTTGGCTCGCTGTCTGATGTTCTGGTTGCGCGCTGCCTTCACTCCATAGAACACTGACTGCTGGTCCCGCACTGACCGGAATCTGTAAGGGGCAGGGGGGGCAAGGGCGGGAGGGGGAGGTAGCATGATATGGGGGTTGAGAGAAATGGAAACGAGGAGGGTTGACGAACACACAGGCACCGAGCAGGAGGGTTGAGAGGAAAGGATGTGGAGGGCTCACCCGGAGAGGGGCGTGAGGAAGATGCCATCCCGCCTGGCAGCGTCCTGCATGGACAGGAACGAGCGTGCTGCTGCCGTGCGCAGCTGCACACTGGAGGGCGGAGGGGAAGGAGAGGGGCGCGTAGACGACGGAGGGACAGAAAACGAGGAGCATTCAATGGTGCAGGAGGGGGGGGAAGACGAGAGGGGGGTGGGACGGGGAGTGGGTGATGGCAACATGGACACACGAATGACAAGTTCACATGGCATCCCGCCTGGCAGCGTCTTACATGGCAGCATGCACCTGTGGAGAGCAGCCCTCTCACCTGCCATCGCCCATCACAGGGCGCAAGTCGTTGTGAGGCGCTTCCTCCACTGCATAGTGACCCAGCACCTGGGGGACGAGGGGGAGGTGACAGGTACGATCGCACAGACAGAGGGCCGGAGGGAAATATACTTCTGCCGCGCTTCCTCCACTGCATAATGGCCCAGCACCTGGGGAACGAGGGAGACGACAGGTCGGATTGCACAGTGAGAGGGCCGGAGGAAAATCCATCTCTTGAGGCGCCTACTCCACCGGATAATGGCTTGGCAAATGCGGCGAGAGGGACAGGAGGAATTGCCCCGCGGGGAGCGAGTCAGGGAGAATGGTGAGAGTGAGAGAGGGGTGAGTGCGGAAGAGGGGTGAGAGTGAGGAAGAGGGGTGAGAGTGAGGAAGAGGGGTGCGAGTGAGGAAGAGGGTTGAGAAAGACGGAGAGGGGAGAGAGCGAGTGAGGGCAGAGAGGTAGGAAAAGCGCAGTGCAGAAGGGATAGACGGAAACGGGTGTATGAGTGTGAGGGGTTCGTGAAACGTGTGGGGTGCATGAGAAGCGTGTGGGGTGTGTGACGGGAGCGTGGGCATGCGCGTGCAGCGGACAGACCTGGTCCTTGACTGGCAGACTGGCGGGTGCCACCATCGCTGCATGGGGGGAATGAGGAGGGGGAGAGCCAAGTGGCGAGAGGCAGGAGAAAAAGATGCAGGAGAGAGGGAGAGGGACTGAAATCGGGAGAATGGAGGGTGCAATCGAAGCGGTGGAGGAGGGGGCGTGAGAAAACGGAAAGAGCAAGGCATAGATTGAGAGAGGGGAGTGCAGAGACGAGGCTGGGATGCAGGTGGGGTTTGTGGCCGAAGCACGCAGGAAATGTTAGCTTGCTCCGGCAGGCTGGACCTGTTTTGATCAGACCTGGGGCCGAAACACGCAGGGGATGTCAGGCTGGGAAGAACCTGAGACGGAGGCAGCAGGCGGAGTGGGAAGCGACTTGTGCCGTGCGAAGGCCGCGCCAGCAGCGACGACGCACGCGGCGACGAAGGTGGTCGCAGAGGCGACAGACAGAGGTGACGACGACGACGACGGCGACGGAGTGACTGTGCGCCGCTGAGCTCGTCTGATTGGTTGCGTCGTGTTCGCCCGCGTTGCTCCCTCCGCTCCCAACCACCCCGCTGAAGCTTCCTCAGCCCCCCCTGCCGCGCCGAGCTTGATCCGCGGAAGGTAGTCTCCACTGGGCGCAAGCACGCGCGCAAGCATCTCCGCCCGCTCCGCCGCCACGTTATCCCCCGCGCCCTTGTCCTCTATGAAGCGCCGCCGCGCTTGCGTCGCGGGGCTAATGGCGCTGCCAGCGGGAAAATCGGCGGAAATTGAGACCCTATCGTCGAGCTCAATACGCTGGTTAGTGCTCTCGTTAATACGAGCCATGTCTCCCCCGTCAGCGAGATATGCGCTTGGCCGGGCACCGTCCGTTATAGTCACACTCCCGTTATCTGTAAGATCCGTTGCGCCGATACCTGCTCTGCTTGCATTGGCGGATGTCCGTTGAGCTCGTACACCCGCATCTCCGATATAATGCTCTCTAGTATAAGTCTGGAAATCGACCAAGCCGCCAGTTTCGTTATTGTTTCCATGCCGTCCAAGCGCGCTCGCTCGAGAGTGTGATTCTAACGAGGCTTTTGCGCTTCGAAAAGGAAACGCGTGATTGAGCAGGCCCTTATTCTCCCTGTTTGCCGACGCGCGTACTGGGAGACGAGAATTGGAAACCGGTGCATGAGGGACGATGGCCAAGACACCAGGCTTATCAATACAGGATCGTTTGCCCGGCAACGGGATGCTGTTTCCTCCATGATGTCTTTCGCTCCATAGTCGCTTCCCAAGAATCGTTCCAGTTAGGCTTTTCACGGCACTGTATGCCAGTTCCATGGGCTCTGGCGCCTACACGAGGCTGGAGCTGAGCAGAAACAAGAACGGGTTCGCAACTCGTTAGAGAATGGCATGAGTGAGTTTGTGAGGGATGGTGGAAATGATGGGACAATTGGCGGAGTGGTGGTGGTGGATGTGGAAGAGGTGGAGGAGAGATGATGGTGGTGGTTGATCATGATTTGAGTTGAGAAAGTGGCGGGAAACCCAGGGATTGACAAACCGCCTCTGTACTGTGCTGGCCTGCTTCTTTACAAATTGCTCGAGATGTGGATGTTTTATCTCGTATCGTTGACGAATTAGCGCTAAGCGGGAACAAATACACTCCCACCTTCACCCCGGGATGTACTGCTCTTCAGTGTGGGCATCAAGACCAGATTGTGTGGCTCGCATGCGTCTGCGTCCCGAATCGCTCAAATCGAGCCATGCAAAGGAGAGGGAAAGCTTCGGATTGGCTATCTGGGTACAAACCACCACACCGAGCCAGAACCGGTAGAGGATTCGCCTCCCTCACTTATGGATAAATCGAACGGCGGAAAGAAGCTGTCTGGAGGAGGCGACGAACCTACTCGAGCGAGCGTCGAGCGGTCAAGACTCGAGAAACGTAGGCATGGTCAGGCTCGGCCTGGCAGCTTTACCACAAGCGACCGAATTCTCTCTCAGCCCCCTCTCTCGAGTGTTCCGCGTCACACAGATCCCCTCATCCATCATCCATTCCCAGATTCTGCCTCGGGGAAGCACTTACAGAGCAGCTAAATATTCCTTGGCTGCACTTCGAGGGAGCTGTCTCTGCAGTTGTAGGAAAGCCGCAGTGGCCTACGAGATCCGTCCCTCGGGCATATTTCCCTGTGTTTTTTCACCCAGCCAGCCATGGCTGGATTCGAGGACTTCTGCGCGTCGCTCGGGCTCTCCGTGGGAATCGGGAAGTTCCTTGTGTGCTACCTGATCAGCATCCCCTGCTGCTTCCTCCAGCGCCTCCTCCCCGCCGGCACCGTCCGCCATATCTGGGCCACGCTCTCGGGTCTCGTGCTCACGTACATTGCGTTCGGATATGAGTCTCTGGGGCATTGCGTGGTGGCGTGCGTGGTGGCGTACGGATCCATGCTCGTGTACCGGAAGAAATGCGGGGTGATCACCTTCTTCACCACCTTCATCTACCTCATCGGCTGGTCAGTCCAACTCCTAGCGCCTGCGCTCAGTCGTGCTCCTGGGATCCATATGAGGAGCTAGTTAGCACGTTTAACTCGTCGTTCTAGGATCTGGCCATAATTAGAATCTGATGTCGACATTTGCCTTTTCGCGGTGTTTTTTTGTTTGTTTGATTGCAGCCATGTGTTTTACATGAGCGGCGATTCGTGGCGGCAAGGAAACATCGACTTCACTGGTGAGCCTCGTACGCTTACTGCATTTCACAGTCTTAATTTGCTGCAGTAGGCATCGAGCGGTCGCTGCATTTCCAATCATACGGTCGCTGGATGCGCTTCAAAGCGAACTAGATACCTTCCCAGATGGCTACGGATGGCGTTGATTTCCAAGTCGTTCATTCATGTGCATTCGGGCAATCTGAGACGCAATGCAGAGTAATCGAGACACCTAGTGCCATCAACCCCTTAGCCTGTACAATAGCCCACATAGAAAAACCCTTCGCCGACTCGTCCCCTGTTCTTCTAGAGTCCAATCAAATGTCATCTGAAGATACATTTCAGCCAGCTCATCTTTCGCTAACTCATCCCCTGTCCAAATCCCTGCCTGCATTCCCTGCATTGCCATGCGACCAGGGGCCATGATGATCCTCGTGCTCAAGGTCACGTCCGTCGCCTACGACTACCAGGACGGCGGCAAGCCGCGCAAGCCGGAAGATGCCAAGACGGCGGCGATCAGCGACGCGCCGAAGCCGATCGTGGCGATGCCGAGTCTGCTGCAGTTCCTGGGCTACACCTTCTGCTGCGGGCTGCACTTCGCCGGTCCCTTCTACGACTTCTCCGCCTACAACGACTGGATCAACCGCAAGGGGGTCAGTGCCGTGCCCTACCGTGCCCTACCGTGCCCTATCGTGCCCTGTTCACGCTCGCGCAGTCGGATTTGCCTTTTCGACAACGCTCCCGGAGTTCTCTTAACCTCACTCCACCGCATTGAAAGCGTTTCAAATCTCCACCGCATTGAAAGCGTTTCAAATCTCACCACTCCTTCCTCCCCCCGCTCCCTTTTCCCCTCTCTCCTTTTCCCACCCGATAGATCTGGGCGCCAGGCACGCGCACGGCGCCCGCGCTGGTGCCGTTCCTGCGCGCGTTCATCCAGGGCATCGTGGCCGCCGTGATCCAGCTCAAGCTCGCGTCCATCCTCGATATAGACATCCTCAAGACGCCCAGTGTGTACTTCGCAATGCCGTACTGGCGGCGGTTCCTGTTCATCTACCACGCGTGCGAGGTCACCCGCTGGAAATACTACTTCATCTGGTCCATCTCCGAATCAGCCATGATCGCCGCTGGGCTGGGCTTCAGCGGGTGGGTTCGCAAGATTGGCAAGGGGGACGAGGGCGGAAAGGAGAACGGGGGGAAGGCGGACGGGGAGGGGAAGGAGAAGCGCGTGGGCGGGAGCTTCACGGAGGTGGCGTCGTGGAAGCGCGCGCAGAACTGCCACATTCTGGGTGTCGAGCTCGCGACCAGCACGGCCACACTCGCCACCAACTGGAACATCTCCGTCGGCCTCTGGCTGCGCACCTGTGAGTCATCCGACTTCGTACCTGATGCAGCTCCCTCAGCAGTGGTGATTCGCATGCGGCCTCTGGCTGCGCACCTGTGAGCCCGTCCGCTCTCGTGCCTGATGCACCTCCCTTTGCAGTTGAGTATCGCACGTTCAAACTGTTGCGCACATTCAGCAGCCAGTGCATGTTCAATGCTCCAACTGTTCAACTGTTCGCGATTGAGCACAACTGCCCTGCCCTGGCCATGGACCTCCGTCCTCTCTATCTCTCTCCCACTTCCTCCCCGTTCTTTGGTCCTCATAAACACTTTTCCTCTTTACCTTACTCTCCCCACCTCCCCACCGTTCTTGTCGCCGTTCTTCCCCTTCCCCACGCTGACCTGCGTGTGCAGATGTGTACGAGCGGCTGGTGCCAGCTGGTGGAAAGCCCGCATTCGTACATCTGCTGCTCACGCAGATCGTCAGCGCGCTCTGGCATGTGAGTACTGGGGTTTGGTGTGTCACTGGGCATTTGAGTTGAGGGGTTCTGGGTTTTAGTTCTGGCTTCTGGGTTCAGGGGTTTGAAGGTTGACTCCCTGGCATGTGGGTGAAGAAGAAAGGAAAGAAGACACGGGTGAAACAACAATCTATTGCAAGCAATAATCGGGCAGAATATCATCAATGGTAATTCGCGTTGAGAGTCTGAGAATGTCGTCACTGGGAACTGAAGTACCAGAGAAGCAGTGGGATGAAGTCCTAAGAAGAAAGAGGGAGGGATCCCCGGTGAAACCCCAATGTACCATATGAACACGCTACAGATAGCTCGAGGCATTCCTTAGGGCTTGGCGGTGGTCCAGTGTGCCTCGCTGCCAATGCCTGGTGGTAAACCCAAAATCCTGCCCCTGTGCCCCCCTTGCCGCCTCTGCACCCCTTGCCGCCTCTGCCCCTCTGCACCAGGGTCTGTACCCTGGCTACCTGCTCTTCTTCGTTGGCGTGGCTCTTGAGATCGCCGGCTCACGAGGTACGCACCCCCCCATCATCTCCCCCCTCGATCAGCCCTCCAGTATGCCTTCATCTCTGCTTTTCCCCTACATAACATCCGATCCCGCTTCCCATCCCACTGGACCATCAATATCCTGTTCATAGTAGTTGTCTTCTGTTCCACTATTCCACTCTTCTCACCTGTTCCCCCTTTCCCATCGTCCCTCCTCTGCCCCCCCCCCTCGGGCAGTGATTTACAAGTATGAGCGTGCCATCCCTCCTCAAGCAACCTTCCTGAAGGGCTTGGCCACGGTGCTCCATGCCATCTATGCGTGCTTCTGCAACAACTATGTTGCTATTGGCTTCATTGTGAGTCGCGATAGGGCTCATTGTGAGTCGTGGTTGCAATTTCTGGTTGAAATGGGATGATAGCAATTGTGAGTCGCTGTCGGTTTCATTGCGGGTCGTGGTTTCAAGTGCTAGGCGTGGCTTTTGTGGCATGCAAGTGCCTCTTCCTCCTCACATCTCTGCCCCCAGGAACTGGCAGCACTGGAGACCATGACAGCATCTGCTCTATCTGTATGCACATTGTCCTCCTCATACCTCCCCTACCCTGCTCACTCTTCCCTCCCCTTCTCCCGCTATCCCCCCTCCCATCTCTGCTCCTCCAGGTGTTGACAGCACAGGAGACCATCACAGCATACAAGGGGCTGCTCTATCTGGGCAACATCGTGCCACTTGCCATTGTAATCCTCGGAAACTTCCTCCCCTCGCCGCGACCCTCTCGTCGCGCCAAGACCGAGTAAACAGACATTTTTTTGGAGCTGCTAGATGGATCCCTCCCATCTCATGGAGAGTGTTTTTGGGGTGAAATTATTTGCTGCAAAGTGCAGTGTAGCTGACAATACAGGAGCTAGGCATGTGTGTGGTTCTCCCTCTCTCTTGGAGGCCTGTATTTCTGCAAGTAGCTGGTAATAGAATGCTAGGTACAAATACATTCTGAAATTTGAGATGCACCACAGTTTTCTGTACGTTCCCGAGAACCAAGTGGTGAATTACAAGGGCTGACGTTTTCAGGCACTCTGGTTTCCATGAAGAAACTTCGTCCACAAAACGTCAGGGTTGATGTGTCAGACTAATTAGAGTATTATACTTGATACTATCAAGCCTGAATGCAATTCGAGATTTGTGATAATTTTGCGAGTAAGATTCACACAAGTTGCTATCTCGATTCACCAGCTAGAACCGCTCTCTACTCCAGAACAATCACATTCCACATTCAGGCCCTCTACATTCCGAGCCTCGAGGGCTTGATTTCAGACCACATCGATCAATCGAGGGGATAAGCCAAAAATCGGACGGTCAGAAATGGTTCAGCAAACTGCAAAATCACAGGTCTGGTCAGCATTCATGGAGGAAATCGCTGGTGATTCGAGGGTGCCTGTTGCCACGTCACGGGATTCCTTCGCGCAATCATTGGCTTGAGTCAGAATTCAAGGCTCACTTCGCAGATAGTTACTGAATCATTCGCCACGGAAGAGGTGGTATCAACTTTCGCCAGTCTCACTTTTCGCCAATAGGATTTTTCACCCCGAGTCTGCAGCCAAACCACCTCACGACAACCAGAGCTTCACAGTTGTTCTTCCCTCCTGCTAGGGAGAGCAGGAAGAGATCCAATGTCATTCACAACGGCTCTCTTCCACGAATAGGGTTTGGTGGCCCCCCATTGGCCAGCACCGACAGTTCGAATTTGAGCGACACGGCGACAGATCTTGAACTGGCGGGATGACGGATACACCTGATAGAATTACAAATCGACGGTCGAAAACCATAGGCTTTTCGTTCGTTCCTTCTTGGCCTTGATTCCCGCCTCCGTTAACGGACCCTTTCTGGTGAATATATCTGGATTCTCTTTTCCGGTGCAGCCGCTTGACGGCGATTGCGAAACGTGACAAAGTGTAGCAAACGGAGGGTGTCCAAACCACCTGGACCGCACAATCATGTGACACGTTGGAACGTCTCCCTACGGTTGAGATTGATTCTAGTCCCATCCTCATCAGAGATTCTCATTTTGAAACCGTTAGATTTACTCTATGAGAAACCACCCTCATTCCGAGGGGGTAGTGAGACTCAATCCGTGACCCCTCGCCTGATTCTTGCCCATTCTCTGTCATTTTCGACTCGATTTCTCTCCAACATGGCTCATTCTGCTCGTTTCTGCTACATGAGAGCATTCTCCTCCATCTTGCTAGCGAAGCTCTTCCATTTTGATTTCGGTAGCCATAACTCTCCGCTCGAAATCGTTTCTCATTTGACAATGGGATCTTCGCGAATCAGCAGCCGAATCCGCCACGCTGCACTCAGTTCGTTGTGAAGTTCCAGCCTCTGATTTTCGGTGAGTACTTCATTGCTCATTCGTCATTTCTTGCAGATTTTCGCTTGTTTTTCACATGAAATGTTTATCTAACCAGATTGCGATGTTTTCGCGTTGCAGGTTCTCGTCACATTCACAGACCATTTGAACTCGACTTCGACGTGCTTCAGCTATTCTTACATCGTCGCCAAGCTGCCGTGAAGTCGTCACCCAAAATTCAGCGATTTCTGGTGAGCGTCTTTCCTTTCGCCGTTTTCAGTCCGTTTCTCATCGTTGTAGTAATATCCGCAGCCTATTCTCACCTCGTTTTCAATCGACTGATCCTTATTTTTCCTGATATTGTGCAGGTTCTGCTCACGCTGTCTCGCCAAGCACACGGGTGGCTGGCGACTGCTCGCTATGTGATTAGGCGTCACCAATTTGCGGTTTCGCGTTTTTTAGTGAGGTTTTTGTCGTCCACGCGTCGTCGCACGGCGAAGTCGTCGTCTGCAATTCGTCGCATGGCGAAATCTTCATCCGCGGATCGTGGCATGGCGAAATGGTCGCGCGGCAGCAGCATCAGCTCTCTCTCGGTCCTTCTTCAATCGCCAGCTAAGTGCCTTCTTCAACCCTCGCACTCTGTTGCTTTTTGTGCTTGCACCATGCAGCACACTCCCTCTTTCACTGCTCTCTGTCGCACCCATGAGACCTCCCTCCCCCAAGGTAGCAGGTATATTTTTTCTTGGTACAGCCTCAGGTATTTGTTTTTGTTTGGTTCAGCTGGTACGAGGTCTCTTGGGTGTGCCACTGAAGCAGTCCATTCATGCACGCATCATTCTTGCACTTTCTGCACTCGTTGCTCTCTCTTCAGTCCACTCGTACTTGCTCCTTTCCTCAATGCTCTCCCCACTCCTCTGCCCCCCCTTCACTTCCCCGTTTTCTCCCCCCCCTCCTCCTTCCTATCTCTGTCCCGATCTGCCACCTCTTATCCCAGCAGGTCGCTCACTCGGGAGTGGCAGTGGCGGGGGACATGGAGTGCACAGGCAGCAGCTGCTCTCCACCCAAACCTCCCTTCAAACCTGAGCCTCTGGTCGTGCTACAACTTCAAGCCACAAACCCCTTTTTTTTGGTAAACCACCCCACCCAGGTACAGGTATCCTCTCAAATTAAGCCGCCCTTTGAGTCTGTGACTTGTAGCTGAAGCTGCACCAGTGGCCCCTTTTCCTGCTGTTACCTGCCACCCCACCCCACCCCACCCCACCTCACCCCACCCCTGCCATGCACACCCTTCACATTGTTACCCCTAGCCGTTTACTCACTTCTCTTCATTTCTCTCCTTGCAGGTGGAGGGGAGGGGTATAGGGTCAACACCGCCACTCCCCCGCACGCACCCCTCCCCTTGTGGCCGTGCTGGTGGCAGTGGTGGGAGGGGAGGAGGGGAGCACTCCACTCGGCTGGGATGGGATGGGAGAGTATCGGGATTGGGTTGTCTGAAACAAGGTGAGCCTCTTTTCCCTCGTGCCCTCTTGCTGCTGCTTGGTCTTCTCTCCATGCTCACTTCCGTTTTTGCTCCCTCCCTGCCTTTATGCTTCTGCATGCTCCTCTCCCCATTCTCACCGCTGTCTCTTGCGCCTCTGCCTCCCTCCCTCATGCCTCCCTCCCAGTACATTGAAGGCTGTAGCAGGGCAGCAGGGGGCAGCAGGGGGGCAGCAGCAGGGCAGCAGCTGAGGGGAGGGGTGTGGTAGCGGCAGCGGCAGGGTGAAGCAGAGTAGCAGGCCGGCAGCAGCAGAAGCAGCAGTGGGGGTGGGTGGCTAGGCTAGGCTAGATGTAGCTGCGGGTGAGGTATGGTACTAGGTATGGTAATGTAACAGGTGTGGTATGGTTACAGGTGAGGTATGGTAAGCTGATCCCCTCCTCTCTCTCTCTTCCCTCCTTCTCCCTGCAGGCTGAAGGTGGGAGCACTGGAGCAAGGGCAGGAGAGTGGAGTCCACCGTCTCACTCACCTCCCCCTCTCTCCCTTTTTCCTTCCCTCCCAGCAGCACCCTGCCTGGACCACAGAGGAGTCTCTCCCTTTCCTAATCCCCCCTTCTCCTCTCCACTTCCCAGCAGCCTCAGCATCATGGCGCTCTGCACGGCTGCGGTAGGTACAGGTAAGTACGCATGGGGGTGAGGTGTGGGGAGGGTGGGTGGGAGCTTGGGAGCAAGTGGGAGTTCACTACCTTAGGGGCAGCATCCTCTGGGGTTGTGACTTGTGAGTCGGGGTGTGGTGGGTGGAATCTGCGCGGCACGGCACTTGGTGCTCAGGTTCCCAATCTGACGTTTAAGGCTTAATGGACACCGTCAGAGCCGACCGGCCGGTGGCTCTGGTTCGCGTCAGCTCTAGCTACGTCAGGGGTGGGATTTGAGTCTTGGGCTGGAAGCAATTTTCCACTACCACACTTCATCCCACAAGTCTCAGCCTCAGGGGTTGCAGTTTCCCAAAGGAAGTGGGCTCTCTGCCTCTCCTACTGCTGGTAGGTGAAGGTGGGGATGGGCTGGGTGGTTGAGTGAGAGAGAAGGGGGCTGAATCCCCTTGGGTGGGTGAGTGAGAGAGAAGGGGGCTGAATCCCGTTGGGTGGGTGGGTGACAGGAAAAGGGGACTGAACCCCCTTGAGTGGTGAGTGGGAGAGAAGGGGGACTGATTATAAGGGAAGGGGCCTGATTTCCCTTGGGTGGTTGAGTATAAGAGCGGGTGATTATAAGGGAAAGGGCCCGAATCCCCTTGGGTGGGTGAGTATAAGAGCGAGCGGGTGAGTATAAGAGAAGGGGCCCGAATCCCCTTGGATGGGTGAGTATAAGAGCGGGTGGGTATAAGGGAAGGGGACTGAATCCCCTTGGGTGGGTGAGTATGAGGGAAGGGGCCTGAATCCCCTTGGGTGGGTGAGTATAAGAGCGGGTGATTATGAGCGAAGGGGCCTGAATCCCCTTGGGTGGGTGAGTAAAAGAGCGGGTGAGTATAAGGGAAGGGGGCTGAATTCTCTTGGGTGGGTGAGTATAAGGGCGGGTGAGTATATGGGAAGGGGCCTGAATCCCCTTGGGTGGGTGAGTATAAGAGCGGGTGAGTATAAGGGAAGGGGCCTGAATCCCCTTGGGTGGGTGAGTATAAGGGAAGGGGGCTGAATTCCCTTCGGTGGGTGAGTAGGTGGATAGTTTTGAGGGCCGAATTCCCTGCTCCTACTGCTGGCAGGTGAAGGTCGGGATGGGCTGGGTGGTTGGTGGGTAGGTGGATAGTTGGAGGATGGGTGGTGGGTTGGGTGTAAGGCTGGATAGGTGGGTGGGTAAGTGGGGGGTTGAATAGATGGTTAGGTCGGTGGTTGTTAGTTGGCTGGGTAGGTAAGTAAGCGGGTGGGTGAGTAGGTGGGTGGGTGGCTGGGTGAGTGGGTGGATGTATGGGTGTCTGGTTTGGTGGGTAGC